CCAAAAAAAAAAAAAAAGAAAAAAAGAAAGAAAAAACGGTGTGAGCAATCCAGGAGCTCAACAGAAGGGCATGGCAAGTCGTAAGTGCTCAGACATGCCAGGTGTTAAGGGTTTGAGCCTCCATTTCAGAGGTGAGTAAGCTGAGACTCAGAGAGAGAGAATGACTTGCCCAGGGTCACCCAGCTGAAGCCCTGCTTGGGCTGGAGCCACAGTCCAGAGCTTACTTCCCTCTTCCCCCCAGGAGAGCCCCCGCCCTCCCCCGGTCATGTGCTGTCTTCTCCCACTAGGATCTGTGCGGGCCACTGCATATGCAACATGAGGAGGAAAGGAATAAGGAAGAGGAAGGGTCCTAGCACTGGGTTAGGACCCTGGGGACTCTGCGGGCCAGTCCTCGACCCCGGGCTCACCCTGCGTACCTCAGCTCTTCCCCTCAGTTGCATCAGTAAAGCATCTGTTGTGGTACAGCCAAGTTGTCATTTGCTTGTTCGTTTGTTCATTCGTCCATTCGTGTCGTGCCCGCCTCAGTTGAGCCCCGGCCGACCACTGCCCTGAGTTGATCCTTGGTTGCAAGGACCCTTGCTATAATTCCCAGCACGTGTGCCAGGATGGATGACTATATGCACTGAGTGCTGTGGGAGCCCAGCACGGGGAAGCTTCCTTCTCCAGTGGGGAAGTCTGGAAAGGCTACCTGGAAGGGGCATCTGAACCACTCTAGAAAGATTAGGAGCGTGATAACGCCTGCTGTTCCCGCTGCAAAAGCCAAAGATCTGTTTAAGGAACATCAAAGCGGAGGACCCTGAAGAGGAGTTCAGGTGGATAGAGGGTGGTGAGGACTCAGGAGTGTGGTGCTCAACACAAGGGCCTTTACTTTATTATTTATTTATTTATTTATTTTTAAAAGATGAATCAGTTTGGTTTTATTTTTGCTCAGTTCATGAGATATTGTCAAGATGTCACCATTCATATCAAAATTTCTCCCAGGTGTCACCAAGAAACTGATGATCAATATTTTTTTAAAGATTTTTCAAGAATCTTATCAGATCATATCGCGTTTCCTAAAGTAAATCCTTTCAGGAATGAAGGAAAGTTTCTCCTCTTAAGTACATGAAATAGAGTCTCTGTCACTTGATTATGAAGGTCGCAGAGGTGCCCTGTTACCAAGTCAGGAAGCAGGCTGGCCCACACACGGCAGCATCCCCAAGTAGCTGGGTCTGGAGGGAGAGGGAAAAGGAAACCAAACCTTAATCCTGAACCAATTAGTGTGCTTTCCAACATCCTGGCCCTAACAAGGACTTTGCTTCAGAAAACTTACCTCCTAAGGGACTTTATTCCTCAGAGCACAAAATTCCACAGTTTTCTGCTTATCATTTTCATTTTGGTCTTGCTTACATACAAAAAACCACGCTCGCCTGCCTAGTCTTCATCTGTAAGTAGATTCTCATCCATCCTTAAATCAGGCGAAGTTAATTGCGGACACGCCCGAGCGTATGGACTGTGCCAGGCTTGTGCTCACCCACAGAATTACCTACCTAGAGCCCAGGGCTCCATCAGAGAAGGGAGTCTGCCTCAGCAAACAGTGGATGCAAAAAGAGAGCAGTCTGAGCAGAAGGAAAACACTGAGCGTCCTCTACCTCAAAACATCGCCAGGGAAGGGCTTCCCTGGTGGCGCAGTGGTTGAGAGTCCGCCTGCCAACGCAGGGGGACACGGGTTCGTGCCCCGGTCCGGGAAGATCCCACGTGCCGCGGAGTGGCTGGGCCCGTGAGCCATGGCCGCTGAGCCTGCGCGTCCGCCACGGGAGAGGCCACAACAGTGAGAGGCCCGCGTACCGCAAAAAAAACCCAAAACTAAAAACATCACCAGGAGTTAACATAAAAGACGCGATGATAGTGAGAAGTCCATGCAGGTGAGACAGGAGGGAGACTCGTGTAAACACGAGCACATTTGGACCACCGTTCATTTCTTTCAGACTCAGCTGTATGTTTTCAGTTTTTCACCCAGCGAGGCTTGCCCAGTTTGGACACTGTTGAGGGAGGAAACTGATTTTAACGTCAGCACGTCATAGACAACCTCCCTTCCTGACGCACCCCTACTCCCCACGTGTCTCCTTCAGCTCTGATCTAAGCCTGGGCCCCTGGGAAGGGCCTGGGGCTCGTTCACACTCGGGAACAAAACAGAAAGATCAGTCTTTCACTTTGCGAGGGAGCTGGGACGATCCTGACGAGAGTGGACATGGTGTGATAAAGGCATGGACAGGGCAGGAGTGAGGAGACCACAGCTGGGGAACAGCTGCCCTGAGGGCACCTGGTGAGCCAGTGAATTGCAGCAGAGGCCTCAGGCCCTGTGGCGGAGGCTCTGGAGGTCCTGGCATGAGATTGCAGGGGGACTCTCATCCGAGCTCCCTTTACTGCGTAGGGCCCTTACTTTAAATGTCAGCCTGGCCATCTGGGGAGGCGAGTTAGGAGGGCCCAGACCGGAGGCAGGAAGACCTACGCGGAGGCTGCTGTGAGCATCCTGGAAGAGGCGGGTGTCTGGGCCAGGGCAGGGGCAGGATGGGGGAGACTCGGAGGACTTGGGGCCAGGCCAGAGGGGCTGTGTGTCTCCATGAGGTGTCCCCAGAGTGCCCACCTGACACCCAGGAGGAAGGTAGGATACCTAGGGTAAGGTTGGTCTCTCGAATCCAGCCATCTTGCAAATGTGTTTGGAGCCCTCGCCAGGGGGCCACGTCTGAGGCTGGCCCACTTAGAGGCATAAAGAGGACTGAGCGTCTGAAGCCGGGATCCCAACAAGGAAGGCTGGTCTCCTTCCAGACACAAGGGCTTTGCGATGGTCATGTGAGGGAAGCAGCACCACACAGGTGGCAGAGAAATTGGGCTGAATGATTGGAGTAATTCTATGCGCAAGCGTCCTAAGCCATTTGGAGTGACAGGACCATAACCCTGCCTCCTGACACCCAGTCCTGTGGCTCATGGGCCAGTGTCCTCCAAAGAGCCACAGACCCAAGACTTCAGCACCCTTTGTTCAAAGCTGCAGCCATGCTGTGCCCAGGGCACTGAGGCTGGAGTCACTGCTCTGGCCCCCCACCTCGGGCTCCCCCTTCCCATCCACCTTCCCATGAGGGTGTGGACCCAGAGGCTCAGAACCAACAAGACATCTCCCATCTCAGCAAGATGCCGTTTTCAACTCTCCTGAGAAGGATCAGCTGGAAAATGAATAGAAATGAGTCCTGGAGGGCCGGGAGAAGCAAGTGCGATGAGAGGTGGGGAAGACTGAAGAAAAGGCCAGGGGAAGGGGAAGCAGGAGCTGGGGAGGAAAAAGTCATGGAGGTTTAAGGAGAAGAAAACAGTGACAAAGTATATGGACTTTGGAGTGACCATCGTTGAGTTCGGGCATTCGGAACCTCGGTCTCCTCATCAATAAAATGGGTGCACAGTGGGTCACTTAGCTCAAGGATTGGCATCTAGGAGGCGCTCAGTAAATGGCAGCTGTTGTTGCTGTTTGCTGCCAAAAGGAGCACTGCAAAGAGAGTCCAGGCTCGTGCTCTTGCAGACACCAATTTGCTGTGTGTCACATAAAAGAAGCTTGGTCACACGGCCTCTCCTCGCAGGCCCCTCCAGTGGAAAGCTTTATGGTTCTGAGGGGGAAAGTTGGAGAGACAGAAGGCACTGAAGGGAGGTAGGCAGGCAGAGTCTGGAAATGTGCACCCAACTGGCCCCTCGGGGCAGGGCTCCACTTGGCACCAAATCTCTCACCCCACAAACTTGACTTTAGAAACCACAAGTGGATGACACACGCCACAGATGTGGGCGGCTTTGGGAATGTTTTGGGGGTTTTTTTGGCTTTCATTTCTTAAGATCAATATTCACTCTTCTTTATTTGCTCTCATAACGAAAATAGATTTTTTAATGTCCCAAATATACAAGTATCACTGACGCACACACATTCCAGAAAAGCTGAAGTCCGAGCTGCTACAAGGTCAGGGAGCAGGACACGGCCTGGCCTCATGGCCACAGACAAGGACCTGGCAGGAAGCTGGCCACTGGCTCAATTCCACGGGGGTCCCAGGGGAAAGCCGGGGGTCTCGGGATGAGGTACTGAGGGGGACCATGGTGGATGGCTTTCTGGGCCCTCCGGGGGGTGTCTCCATCCCAGCAGACCCACGGGAAAGGCCTCTCAACCATGGAGAAGCTGGGTGTGTGTCATCCTGAGATATCCCAGTGGCCTCAAAGTGCCCCACTGAACACCAGTCACCAGGAGAAAGGTCCCCGCCACGTCCTTCCCAGAGACAAGGAAAAGGGCCCCCGCCACGTCCTTCCCAGAGACACCTACTCTGGAGTGGCTGGTCACAGGTGGTGGACAAGTTTTCGCCAGAGACCCTGGCCCTGGCCCTTCTTATCTGGCCTCCTAAGAAGGATCCAAGACCAGGAAAATGCTTCAGTTTGAAAACAAGGAAGCTGTCCATCTGTATATAAAATACATATTGTTAGCCGGAGATGGACAAATGCAGGACCAGGAGCCTCCCAGAGATGGCATCTGGACAGATGGTGGCCTCAGTCCCAGCATCTCCTTCAGGGCTGGTCCCTAGGAAGTGACTTCTCTGGAGAAGGGAGCTGATACCCTTTCCAGTTTGGAAACACGGAGGCTGAGCAGGCAGGGCCGGTGCGGAGGGAGCCCTCCTCACGAGGGTCTGTGGGGCCTCCAGGGCGACAGGGACTGCCCACCCCTGCCCACCGTGCGTCTCTGAGCCTTGAGCGCAGTCAGAAGAGGCAGGAGCCCCGCAGGCCGCGGGCCTGGCGCAGGTCGGCCGACAGGGAGCGGCTCATGAGCTTGGTGGTGGAGCGGACGCTCTCGGCAGCCTGGACCGCTCGGCTCAGGGCCTTGTTGAGCTCCTCCAGGTCCAGCTGGATGGAGTGCCGGGGTCTCCCGGCCGGCCGAGAGGAGACTGCGGGGGGCCACTCGGCAGCTGCTCGGGCCGGGGGCGCTGAGGTAGGTGCTGCAGGCGCGTAGTACCTGGGGAGAGACGCGAGTGCGTTCACTGACTGCGGAGATGGCTGGGGGCGTCTCAGCTCCAGCTCGGCCCCTACATTCTGAGTCTCAGTTTCTTTACCTCTAAAATGGGAGAAAGGACCCCCGCTGAGGGATGTTAGAGGGGTGAAGCAAGGTAAATGGGAGTGCCTGAACCAGAACAGTCTTCAAAAAATGGTCCGTTTCATCTACCCGTTCATTGAACAAATGCTAATGGAACATATATGTGCCAGCCAGTGCACTAGGGCCTGAGGTCACCATGGTGATTGAACAACACGGACCCCGCCCGCCGCCTTCTTGGAGCTTCTAGTCTGAGAGCCTGGTCTCAGGGAGACCAGGCTCACCCCAGGCTCTGGAGCAAAGAGAGCCCCCTCATCAGAGAGGTCATGTATGGAGCCCTATTTGTCAGGTGTGGAGCGCTGGAGAAACGTGATAATAATAATTAGGATTCTGCAGGAGTGAGAGGGTCTGGCTCCACCCATTCCCCCCCGCAGCCTGGTCCTGCAGGAATGTACGGTGTTGTTTAAAAGTTCTGGGACAAAGAAGCATGTTCCCTAAATAGAGCAGGAA